TCTTCATATCCTCCACCTCTTTCAATACCCGAGCTACTTCCTCAGCTGTAAATACACGTATATATATTTATATATGTGTGTGTGCGTGTGTGTGTGTGTGTGTATGTGTGTGTGTGTGTGTGTGTGTGTGAATGTAGATACATGTAAACATACATATCGATATTCTTAAGTACATAGCTCTTCGTCACTCTTTGTCCGGTACCATAATAGGCGCAACATATCTGTAGATATCCTACACATCCGTTGAGAACTCCTGGTCACACCTTCGGAATATTCTCATACATACTGATCACCTCGCATGTTGTTTCTGTAGTACTTATCTCTGAGGTCAAGTCGTATGAGCTAATCTCCCTCAGTGTACAATTGTTTCTTTGTATATACCTTCAATACCTTTCTTGATTTATTTACTTTGAATTGACTACAAGCTACAAGCCTGCAGCCTAGTAAACAGAATCAACGCATACGAGTTATGCAGCAATCTATAACCAGAATAGACATATCACAAGACCAGGCAAGACCCACGGGTACAGCTTTTGAGTGCAAGACAACGAGCCTGTACACACACTCACCACAAGTTACATATCTAATCGGAATTGAATACATTGAGTTGGATAAGCGTACACCGACGACGATACCACACAGCCATCTGTCACTGCATACTTGCGGCGATGCTTAACAGCATTATAAATATCCACTCGTAGATAATCACATACGTACATGCATAAACCATCACCCAGTGCTACACTGAGTATTCATTAATTCGTCTATCAAAGTTCGCCACTATCACCCAAGACAGGGATACGGTTAAGGAACTAAACACAACCACTCGCAATACATTTATCCACATGTGTACGTGCACTCAGAACGTTACAACACCTTCATCACTGCTGTCACTTGCATCGTCTCCCCGGTCAACCCCCGCGTGGGTTTTCTCACTCATTCGTTTGTTTTTCTTGGATTTCTTGTGATGAGCATCCTTGTTATCCTCGTAAGCTCTACTCAGTTCGGATTTGGCCTTCGCCACGTCCGCAAGCAGCTTCTGTACCTCATCTGTGGTGTGGTTATAAGTTTATCAGTATCCTCAAACCCAATTTTGCTACTCGGTCAAAAGCCTGACTACACATTATTTACAAAATGCATGTCTGAGGGGGAACAGGCGTATCGTGCTACAAAACAATTGAGTTGCGTCATCACAAGTAAATACACGGCACATGATCTGTAGTGCGCATTAGTGATTGGGGTAGGTATGAGCACATCCGAGCTTCAATAACTCCAGCTGCTATTCCGTTCGACAACTCGACTGCACATATTTGCACCATGATCGAGTGAAATCAACCAATGCGGGCTTCAAACCAATTGAGTTGCATGTTCGCAAGTAGCCGCTGCAACATTGTTTGTAGTATTCATATGCTGTTCAACTGAGTACCATTACTTGAGATTCGTGAGATGACAAGTGCTAATCGACAGGCAACGTCTGCGTATCCCTGTGCGTTGTTCGGATAGAGTGGTATGGCGTACTTTGAAGCTATACACCAATAAGGAGAGCCCCAGCGAGCATATGCTTGGTCTACGTACTTTGTACCTTATTCCTGTACAGCTTATGTGATGCCATACTCTCGTCCCAACTCTGGACCGCAAACCCGAACAATCAATTCATCTAAACCCCTATTCACCAAAAACCAAAAACTTCTGGACTTTCCAAATCCAAAACCCAATATGCCCCGCATGTACTTTGTTCATTTTTGGTGGTTTCACTGCTAGTGAGAAGTCATGGTCCTGCCAAACTCAGGTTCTGGATCCCGAAATTTCTAGTCTCCACTTTCCTTTTCATCCCAAGCCCCTAAGTTCTCAACCCCAAGGACTCGCATGCATCCTGTTCCTTATTGGCAGTCTTACGGCTGAAATGATGATGAGTCCAGTATCTCCTCACATTCGGGATACAAAACACAGAAACCTCTGAAATCGTAAAATGTACCATTCGCAAATATACCTTGTCCTTTCTTGGCCTTCTTACTGCCAATAGAGGGCCACAGACCTTTCGCATGCAAGGTCTCCTGATCGCCTTTTTCCGGTGGCATCTCTAAGGCATATGTGGGCGACGGCGAGCGTTCTTGATTACGCTGTCATATTGAAACGTTAGGGAGGACAGGATGTTTGAAAACCCTGTAGCCTGTCAATCTCTCACTCGGATAAAAATAATAATAATCCACTGTAACTAGAAACGCCCTATTTTTGTATCGTTTGTTGTAACTTCGAGTGGCAGGCTAACAATATATGTGGGCGAGGGCGAACGTACTTGGTCACGCTACGATACCAGAATAATTTAGAGACGACAGAGTATGCAAACCTAAACTCTAACAACTAAAGTACCTATATAAACACCTTCTCTTGGACCACACACCCCCTTTGGAAATTTAAAACCCCTACAATATCGCTCGCCAGAACAAGTGCAAACGTATATAGTGCTCATGGTATACGTTATTGTATAGCAAATTGGAAAGCGCTTCGATCTACATCACACAGTCTTTAACATATCAAACGTTTTGAATGCCCACTCAAACAGAACGAAACTGAAAAACAAGCATAGTGAGCGTAAATATTCAACATTTGACTCGCACGATGCTACATACGTTCTCTATCTCCGCAGCGTCTTTTGCCTCACTGAGAAGTGCTTCTATCTCGTCTTCCACATTCATATTCGTGGTCGGCGGCTGCGATAATAAGTTCATTAAAGTATGCCATTAGTATATATATATATATATATATATATATAATAATATATATATATGTGTATATATATAGTATATATATAATATATATATATATATATATATATATATATATATATATATATATATATATATTATTAGTATTATATTATAGTAT